ATATCAAAAAAATAAATAAATAAAATACACCATGACCAAGGGGGATTCATACCAGGTATGCAAAGATAGTTCAACATTAGAAAAACAACATAATCCATCACATAAATAAAACAGAGGAGAAGAACCATATGATCATATCCACAGGTGCAGAAAAGGCATTTGATAAAATCCAACACCCATTCCTGATAAAAACTCCCAGCAAAATAGGAATAGAAGGGAAATTTCAACATAATAAAGGGCATATACACAAAGCCAACAGGCAACATTATTATCAATGGAGAGAGAGTCAAAGTATTCCCCTTGCAAACAGGAAACAGGCAAGTATGCCCTCTATCACCACTTCTATTCAACCCTGTATTGGAAGTTCTGGCCAGGGCATGAGGCAAGAAAGGGAAATAAAAGGCATCCAAATTGGCAAAGAAGTAAAACTATCTCTATTTGCAGACAGCATGATCTTAATCATAGAACACCCAAGAGACTCAGCAAGAAAACTACTAGAATTAGTTGAAAGATCCAGCAAAGTGGCAGGATATAAGATCAACATATAAAAACTAGTTGGATTCCTTTATATCAACAAAGAGGTCTCTGAAAAGGAAAACAATACCATTCACAATAGATAAATACTTGAATAAATCTTACCAGGGACACAAAATGCCTATATATAAAAAACTATAACACACTACTGCAAGACACTATAAGAAACTTACATAAATGGAAGAACATGTCATGCTCATGGGTAGGAAGACTGAATATTGTGAAAATGTCAATACTGCCCAAAGCAATATATATATTTAATGCAATCCCAATCCAAATTCCATCAAAAGTGTTTAAGGACATGGAAAAACTCATCACTAATTTTATATGGTAAGGAAAGAGAGCTTGGATAAGCAATGCACTACCAAAGAAGAAAAACAAAGTAGGTCTCATTCTACCAATCTCAAAATTACTATATAGTCATGGTAGTCAAAACAGGCTGGACTTGGTACAATAATAGACAATAACAGAACAGTGGAACAGAATTGAAAATCCAGAAATGGATCCATCCACCTATGGACAGCTGATCTTTGACAAAGGGCTGAAACCTGTTAAATTGGGGGAAGAGATAGACTTTTTAACAAATGGTGCTAGCAGGTGGGAAAAAATGGGACTACAGTCATGAATGGATATAGTTTTGACAAAGGCTATCTCTACCTATGTATTTATATGTACTTCAAATACATCCATGAATGTAGTAGAACACACAGGGGACAAAGTTATGAAAATGTCTTAGTCATATCCAAACACCCTGAGGGAACGAGTTGCTCTCTACGGAGGCTCAGGACCATAGCCTCAGGAAACAATAAGGTCAATTGGCGTGACAATCTACAAAGACAGTATCTATATCTTACTTTGGTGAGTAGCAACTGGGGTCTTAAAAGCTTGTCAGTGGCTATCCAAGGTGAAACTATTGGCCTCTCTCTGTCTGGAGCAAAGAAGAGTGATGAAAATCAAAGACACAAGGAAACAATTAGTTCAAAGGACTAATGGAGCATGTGAACCCCAGGCTCTACAACCCTGAGACCAGAAGAACTAGATGGTCCCAGCTACCACTGCTGACCACTCTGAAAGGGATTACAATAGGAGGTCCCAGACAGAGTGGGGAAAATATGGAACAAAGCTCAAAATCATAAAAAAAAAAAAAAAAAAAAAAAAAAGGGCCAGGCTTGCTGGTCTGATGAGGAATGGTGGAATAGTGGAACTCTTGAGACTCTGACTTTCAGACACCCTTCAAGCTAGGAACTGAATTTGGCCCAATGACTCAATTGTCAGCCAAATGACAGACAGGCCTAAAAGGTAAACAGTTATATCCTGAGTGTATGGACTCATTACAACAGTCGAGCATATGAGATCCAGAAGACAGCATTTGCCCAGGGACAGAGCTAGGAAAGTGGGAGGGAATAGGAAAGAGAGAAAGGGTGGGCACAGGGAGAAAGTGGGAAGAATGCTGGTACAGTGTGGGAATTGCAGTAAACATCGCCAAACAGAATGTGTATGGATTGTCGAATAGAAAACCAATTTGATCTGTAAACTTTCACCCAAATCACAATTAAAAAAAAAAAAAAAACCTATCTAAAATAAAACAGAACAAAAAGATGAATATATATTTGCAGACAAATGAAACAAGATCCATACCTTATACCATACACAAAAATGAACTCAAGATGGATCAAAGATCTAAATGTAAAATGCAAAACTATAAAGTTCATCAAATATAAAATAAGGGCAAACTTTGGGGCCCTAATTTTTGGCATAATAAAACTAAGCACAACCCAAAATGCATAAACAGCAGAAGACATACTAGATGACTAGGACCTTCTAAAAATCAAAATCTTATGCACATCAAAAGACTTCTCAAAAAAAGTAAAAAGAGAATCTACAGATTGGGAAAAAATATTGGGCAATGTCATATCCAAGAAGGGACTCACCTCTAAAACGTATAGAAAACTTCAATACCTCAACAACAAAAAGATAAACAATCCAATTCAAAAATGGGCAAAGGACATGAACAGACACTTCACCGGAGAAGTTATTCAGGCAACCAGTAAACACATGAAGAAATGCTTGTGATCATTATCCATTACTCATAGCAACCCCTCCCTGGATTTCTGAGGCAGTATCACTACAGAAGTAGATTGTCCAACCTTCCTTCCGAGGAGTAGCTGGTAGGTTTGAACCACCAACCTTCTGGTTAGCAGTCAAATAGCTTAGGCACTACACCAGCAGAGCTCCCCATTATCCATTATAGAAATGCAAATCACAATAACAACGAGATAAAATTTAACCCAAGCAATAATAGTAAAGTTCAAGACAAAAAACAACAAATGCTGGCGAGGATGTGGAGAGACTGGAATTCTCATACACTGCTGGTGGGACTGTAAAACAGGATAACCACTGTGGAAAACGGTATGGCTCTTCCTTAAAATGTTGGAAATGAAAACCCCATTTAATCCAGCAATAGCACTACTAGGCATATATCCTAAAGAAGTGAGAGCCAGGATATGAATAGATATACGCACACCCATGTTCATCATAGCACCATTCACAATAGCAAAGAGATGGAAACAACTAAGTGCCCATTAACAGATGAATGGATAACCAAACTATGGTACATATACACAATGGAATACTACACAACATTAAAGAATAATGAAGAATCAGTGAATCACCTCATAACATGGATGAACTTGGAGGACATTATGCTCAGTGAAATACGTCAAGCACAGAAGGACAAATATCATGAGTCTAATGTTATAAAAAGTCAGGAAAAGTTTACACAGGGAAAGAAATTTTCTTTGTTGGTTACCAGAGATGGGAGGGAAAATTGCTGACTAGTCAAGGGATGTTGTTAATTTGGTGAAAGGAAATGCAATATAACAAAAATAGAAAACAAAAAACATAAAAAATATTTTTTAAAAAAGGCAAAATCACTAAGGAGAAGGAAGACATGGAGACATGCACTCGAGGTACAAACAACAAAGGTAAATTCTATGACATACACAAGACTGCATTATCAGTAACAACAAACACTAACCTACGGATGGATACACAGGGAGACAGGCAAGAAGATCAGGTATGGGTAGGAGACCGCGAATATACCTATGACCATATTCCTACATATGTATCTGTATATGCTATAAAAATATCCATGTACATTACAGAACTAACAGGGGACAAAGTCAGGATAACTTGTTAGCCGCAACCAAGCACCTTGAGTGAGTGAGTCACTGGGGCTATGAGCTCAAGACCATGGTCCCAGGGGACATTAAGCTCAATTGGCATAACATAGTACACAAAAACACTGTTCTATATTCAACTTTGATGAGTAGCAACCAGTCTTAAAAGCTTGAGAGTCGTCATCTGAGATACAACTATTGGTTCTTCCACATCTGGAGCAAAGAAGAGTGGAGAAAATAAAGTCATATGGAAGCAAATTGGTCCGGCAGAGTAATGGACCATGGGAACCTCAGCCTACATGACCCTGAGACCAGAAGAACTAGATGATGCCCAGCTACCAATGCCAACCACCTGGAAAGGAGTCAAAATTGAAGATCCTGGATAAAGTGGGAGAAAAAAAATGTGGAACAAAATTCAAAAACATAAAAAAAAAAAGAGAGAATTACTGGTTGGAAAGAGACTGGTAAAACCCCAGGGGCTAAGGCCCCGAGTCACCCTTCAGGCCTGGAATTGGACTCACTCCTGTAGCTTAACTCTCAGCCAAACAATAGAGAGGGCTGCAGGTAAACACCTACAGGGAGATACACTCCTTAGAAGAGTCAACCATGGGAGATCAGAAGGGCAGCATTTGCACAAGGAGAAAGGTAGGGAGGCAGGAATGCATTGGCAAGAGGAACACAGGGAAAGAGTAACCACAGGGAGGAATCGGGAGCAGAGCTGTTATACTGTGGGGATTGTAATCGGTGTCACAAAACAAAATTTGTAGGAACTGTTGAATGTAAAACAAATCTGCTTTGTAAAACTGCACCCAAATCACAATCAAAAGCTTTTTTAAAAAAAAGTGATTTATGGATTTAACAGTCTGGTACTTATTAATTAAACTGTAAATAAACATCTGCTTATTAAGTCAAAATTATAGGGACAACAGAGTAATTTAGGCCTCTCTGTTCTGCCTTCCCATGAAATCTAGGCTGACTGAAGAATGTTCTTATGCCAAACTTAGCAGTTTGTACTTTGCCTTAGGGGGGAAGAAATCCTTCCAGAAATGTGAATTTTGTAAAGAATCAAAATTAAAGCCAGTGCAGTGAACGAAAACAACTTACCAAATTGTTGAAACCGTTTCCGCCTCACCTCAATCCATTTCTTTTGAAGTATTTACATTTTCTCTAAAACATTTTTAATAGAAAACTTTCACATCCAGTTTTCCCCACTCCCTGTTGACACTGTAAAAGGAAACAAAGTGCTTTTTCTAAACACTGGTCTCTGAGGACGTAGGTTCTAAATACCTGTGGTTGTGCATTCATAATCAAAGCTGGTCACATCATTGAGCTTCTTTTCCTGGTATTCCGGTGGGCCGATACACAGCACGTCAGAAACAGTGGAATTTGTCATCTTCAGCCACAGATACAACCATTTGGCTTTGCAGTCACACTCAAATTTATTGCCCCTTAAATCTCTAAGAAGCAAAACAAAATGCAAACAGACACACATAAAGAAACCAAGTTGTTTGGAGAAGTTTAGTAGCCACATGGAACTCCAGCATCGTTAACATCCTGATAGATTTAATAGCCAAAGAAAAACAGACTGATTTTTTAAGTCATCTAATTTCCTGTACTTGCTACTGACTTTATTCTGTGCTCGTGAGTGCCCATGATTTTAACTGGACAGCAAATGGAGAGTTATCAACACTGATACATCACCATCTCTCTAAACCCCCTTAAAAATGTCACTGTGCTGTGCTTGAAAGTGGGTGAGGGGGTGATTGAAGGAACCCTGACACAAGTTCTCATAAAGAGAGAACATTACAGAAGGATAGTTTTCACAAACACAATTGAAACTTTAAGTTCTTGTTAAGCTACGTCCAGCAAAGGAGTGACAGACACATGAAGGTAAAGGAGATAGATACACTAGCTTGGGGAAGGGGACACCTGTCAGCCAGCCCACTGTTGGCCTAATGGTATTACATATATTACAAAATGGCAACAACCAACACCATACCAACTAGATGCTGTTTCCCAGCATGCACTACTGTTGTAGAATTTTAGCTACAGTAAAGGGATGTGGGGGGGGCAGGCAAATTTAAAGCTATGATTAACTGGGACACAATGACAGCACAGAAAAACTTAATTTTCATTACTTACAGTTCAATCAGAGAGTCTAAATCACTGAAGACATCCCTTGGGAGGGCTTTGATGTGGTTATTGGCCAAGGAACTAGAACAAGAAAGTCCCATTTTAATGTGGTTATAATCTTCATGCCCTGTCACTCTGATGTTCTCTTATACAAAACTTGATTTAAAACAGAGCCCTAAGCCTCCTCTTCACAACGTGGTCTGACTACCAGCTCTGGCCATCAACACAGAGATAAAGAAATGGGTTTTGTGGTACACAGATGACAGTGTAATGCTGGGTTTGCAATTTGTTTTGTTTTTGGTTTTTAAACAGCATTTATTAAGTTCTTTCCACACATTGCTTAAACCTCAGATGGCTTCCCAGGTTACTTGGAAGATATGCTAAAAAAAAAAGTCCCTTTGATAACTTACTAGATGTCCACTGTCTACTTACTCTGCTCTCCCTTATACGGGAGCAGCCTCCCACTACCCAGATGCAGCCACACAGACTCCTTGCTAGTCCCCCAACAGGCTAGCCGTGCTCCCACTCAAGGCCTCTGTTAGGAACTGTTTTGTGTTCCCCAAAACATGACCTGTGGCTATAATATCCCTTGTGGGAATAAAGTTTTCTTTGCCATGTTAATGAAGACACACTGTGTAGAGCATCTTAAACTTAGTCACTTCTGGGTTATAAGATGAGCATCTTGGACACTGAGGTGCACAAACGGGGGAAGGATGGATGCCATGTGGAGATGATCAAGGGAGAGGAACCCAAGGGCTACAGAAGCTGAAAGAGACAAGGACCTCCCCCAGAGCCCACAGACAGCCAGCAAGCCTTCCCACAGAGCCAGGGACTCAAATTGTACTCCTGGAGCTCTGGTAGCGTAGTGCCTAAGGTACTTGACTGCTAACCAGAAGACCGGTGGTTCAAAGCCACCAGCCACTCCTCAGAAGGAAGACTGGGCAATCTACTTCCGTAAAGATACTGCCTCGGAAACACAAGGAGGGGTCTCTATGAATTGCAACTGACTACATTCTCCCTGAGGTGGTCCCTGCCCTCTTCCTTGCCCCCTCAGTTGGTCTTCACTACACTGCTGCCACTTGACATACTGTATATTTTAGTTATCTCTTTGCTTATTAAGGATCTCTGGTGGCACAATGCCTAGGGCATTTGACTGCTAACCAGAAGGTTCTCAGTTCAAATCCACCAGCTGCTGCGTGGAAGGAAGACTGGGCAATCTACTTCCGTAAAGATTTACCATCTTGGAAACCCAGTGGGGGTCACTATGTGTTGGAATTGACTCGATTGGCAGTGGATTTCTTTCTTTATTGGCTCTGTACCTTCCCGATGGGCCCTGGGTGGTGCAAATGGTTAAATGCTTGGTTAATAAACCAAAAGGCTGGTGGTTCAAACCCACTCAGAGGTATCTCAGAAGAAAAGCCTGGTGCTCTGCTTCCAAAAGGTCACAACCTGATAGCTCTATGGAATGCAACTCTACTCTGCACACAGATGGGGTTGCCATGAGTGCAATCAACTCAGTGGATATGTTTGTTTGTTTTTCACCTTCTTTATAAATGAGCAAAAAAGGAGCTCTGGTGGCATAGTGGATAAAGCATACGGCTTCTAACAAGAAGGTCAGCGGTTCAAACCCATTAGCTGTTCCATGGAGGGGAGATGGAGCAATCTACTTTCATAAAGATTTGTTGTTGTTGTTGTAGTTGTTGTTAAGTGCCATCGAGTCGTTTCCGACTCATAGTGACCCCATGCACAGCAGAACGAAACACTGCCCGATCCCGTGCCAGCCCCACAATCCCTGCTATACTTGAGCCCATCATCGCAGCCACCGTATCAATCCATCTCCTTGAAGGCCTCCCCTTCTTTCGTCGACCCTC